ATTCTTTAAACAAAATGGCCACCAGTCAGCCATTTTAAATTAAATCTGGGAGAAAAAAGACAAGTCCTGGACCAATTATGTTTAACATTAAGTTTGAATTAATTATGCCCATGCATGACTGATTTCTCAGCAAAATTAGCTTGTGTAAGTACACACACATTCACACAAATTTATGGCAATAAATCTATAACCGTTTCACCACCAGTTCTCTCTTTTCATCACACATTCACAAAATAGTTCCATTTAGAGTCTGCACTTTCCTTCAGAAGATTGGGACAAAAATAGCTAGTTCTGACTGTTGGCTACATATTATGCTTCATTTCCAGAAATATTGATGAATATATATGGAAAGTGCAGAACAAATGTGAGCGAGAAAGTCTGGTGTTGAAAAGGTTAAGTCCACGTTTTTTTTTTACTTTGTCCAAATACTGATAAAACAAGAGGCTTACTAATAGGTAAAAGCACAATTAAAACAGTTTGAGTATTTTGGTGTGGAACAGTTCTACAATAGCCAGGATCATTATGTACTGGTGGTGTGTACTGCATGACAAGACCGACTACAAATTTTGAATGTATACATATAGTAATTACTCACCACAGCTGAATTTCTGACTGCAAGTTTGCGGTATATCACAGGCACAACTCCACCAAAATCAGGAGGTACAAATGGTCTGACATTACCAAAGGATAAAGCACCATATCTATTGAAAAGTGAAAATGATTGGAATTTAATGTTATAAAAGCAATAAACAGTCATTAGTTGTTTTAGAACAGCACTTGGATCTTCTACTTGTTCCTGTAAATAGAAATACATTTCGTCATGATACTGTAGAATACTTTATTTTCGCTTGGAATTTATTTTCGCTATTTTCGCTGAAGGGATGATTCCGTGAAAATAAAATCCAGCGAATATACTTTTTTTCCTATATTTCACATTAAACTCATGAAAATAAATAAATTCAATTCAATCAATGAAAATAAATTCCAAGCAAAACGCCCAAAAAGCCTTTTCAGCGAAAATTAATTCCAGCGAAAATAAAGAATTCTGCAGTATACTTTTTTTAAGTAAAGTGTACTGATGGTCACACAGAAGCATTTCAACTGACATCATGTAAAGTCACTGATGGATTTCTTGTTGTAAAAGGAAAAACATTTGGCCATAATAAGGTGTTAACCTTTTCTTTTGGTAAAGTAAAGTGTACTGATGGTCACACAGAAGCATTTCAACTGACATCATGTAAAGTCACTAATGGATTTCTTAATGGTACAAAACAATTTTTTTTTAATAAGTCATTTGTTTTCCATTATAATTGATTAAATAATTATTTGCTCTGAGATTAAATAGACTGTAAAGCAATACAAATGCTCGGCATATCACAGAATTGTGTACAAGAGTACATGTATAATTTTTAATGCTCAAATAGTATCACTAATCACAATGTGTATTCAGGGGTCCAATTAAGAACACAAAAACTATAAGCACAGGTTGTATTGGACCAAATTAGAAGCACATGCAATTGGATAAATGGCAGATGTGATTACCTATGAAGTTTATATTTGTCCGATGTATACAGGAAATACTCTGATACATTCCTACCAGAAACATCTAACATTATGTCGGCAGTAATTACCCGATGTGTCGGGGGTTCTGGTTCACCTACTTCAACGGGACAGATAAAACCATGTCCATCTTTAGCACATTGACAGGGTATTTCTGTTATCTGGATGGTTTCATTATCTATAAAAGAAAAAATAATTTGGTTGATAAAAGATGATAAGGAATGCACATCTAATGAAACTTTGTAAGTAGTAGGGTCTGTATTGCTTTTACATTACTGTAAAATACTTTATTTTAGCTGGAATTAATTTTCACTGAAAATACCTTTTGGGTGTTTTGTATGGAATTTATTTTCACTGATTTTGGACTAGTTAAGTGTAAAACAAGCAGCCTGTCGGCTGAGATAGCTCCGCTGTTAGCAATGCACATGGC